GGGTGGCGGGACAGCTCTGTGGGTCTTACAGGGAAGAACTCAAGCATAACTTACTTGACCAGCCAAAAGTTTAAATATACCCTTCAGTGTGTTTTAAAGACGGCAGCAAAATGGGGGAAATAATTTGTATTTATTTTCTTGTTGTATACAGGCTTTCTGGATTCTGAAACAAACAGGAAAATGTGTTTGCTCTCTCTACCTAGTTCCTATTCATTCCTGTACTTAGAAATATTTATCCAAGTGTTCAGGACAGACAGGAGTCTTCAGTTACCCAGAAGTGCAGGAATAATAGTGCTCTGATACCTAGGAGAAGGGTAGGAAAGGTGAGACCCAGTCAACCACTGCTGCTTGCCAGCAGCAGCTTGGGTTAGACTAGTACTGAAGGCTTTTTTATTTTTATTGACTTTTAAAACCGTACTAATCATACTTGATATTTTTTAGTGCTTTCTAAGCAGGAGAGTATGTCTTACAAGAATCTTACACGTTAGCTAGTATTATAATCCTTCCTTTTACTGATGAGGAAAGGAGTTTAAAGAGATTAAATAACTGGACTCAGTCTGTGCAGCTAAGAGACACAAAGCCAGGTATTGAACACAGGCAACCTATCCCAGGATCCGTGTGCTGACCTCAGCATGGCCTCTCTTCTGTCCAGCTCACCTTGGTTAATGCCTATCCATAATCTTTGAGGTTACATTTATAAATACATGTGATTTTCCTTTTCCAAAATATGCCTATTTAGAATGGATAGGAAAGAAGGGAATAATGAAAGTGAATATCATAAAACTGATTTAAGTTTGTATTTTAAAAAGGTATGCTAGAGGGCAGGGGAATGATTCAGTGGATAAAGGCTCCTGATCCCAAGCCTCAGGACCTGAGTTCTCTCTCTAGGACCTACACATGAAAAAAGAGAACAGAATTTCACAAGTTGTTCTCTGCCCTCCACATGGGTGCTATGGTATACACATGCACGCACACACACACGCACACACACACACACACACACACACACACACGCCAAAAAGTTAAATAAATAAATGTAATTTGATTTTTAAATTTTGTTAGAATATTTCTAACATAAAGATGATCATTTTTGTCATTTTTCAAGTTTGCAGTTTGGTACTAAATTACTTTCAGACTGCAGTACCGTCATCACTAGTATACATCTTTAGAACCCTTTCCTTTACATTTGACTTTTTAAAATTATTTTATACATACCAGTGTTTTGCCTGCATGTATTTAAGTGCACCATATCCATGCAGTGCCCACAGAGGCCAGAAGAGGGTCTGGAACTGGAGCCCTCCGGTTGGATGGTCATTAGTCACCATGTAGGTGCGAGGAATAGAATCTGAGTCCTCTGGAAGAACAGCAAGTGTTCTTAACAACTGAGTCATCTCTCCAGACCCTACATCTGATTTTTAAAAGAGCTCACCTATTCATTCAGCAATAGTTTTGAACATCTAGTTGAACCTTTGTTTACTGGGCCTAGTCTGGCTCACCACATATTCTCAAATATCCCTTGCCATAATGGCCAGCCCAGTCTGATAAGCTCTCTTCTTTGTAGTCTGATAGTCAAAGCCAGCTGATGAAAAGGGGATGGATTTTGGCGTGAAGATTTGATAAACTTAGAGGACAGGAGGCTGGGCCTAGGTCTGTCATTCCATGGGATGGTCTATGGAGGGGATATAGACAGACACTAATTCTTAGGCATACACCTTCCATGGTTGCTGTGACACCCTACCTTTGTCTGTAAAATGGGATAATTTTTACTTTACTGTATTAAGTATATGACAGGTTATAGATGTGTGATAAATGAATTTAAATAATTAGCAACAGGAAAAATAAATATTTCTAATTCTCCAGCCAAAGTCATGATAAGTAGGTCTTGAAAGAATAGGAATTTCTATTGTCTAGCCTTAAGCATTCTTGATGTAGCACTTTATAAATATGTGCATGTGTGGGCACATGTTCCTGAACTCATTCTCCATGTATATAAATATACATAGAGGTGTACTCAATGGGGGGCAGATGGAGAAAGAAAACTAAATGGCTGTGTGTTACAAATAGAAAATATGAAGCCCAAGCAAGGTTTGGGAGTGGTCGTAATGAGGTCAGATCCAGAGTTCTGGAGGAGAAAGAAAGCTGCTGGTGAATGAATTTTGTGCCATGAAGTGCTGTGCATCTGTCGAATAAAAGCATTCTCCTGTTCTATGACACCTCCAGCCCACACTGCTTGCTCTAAAATACTAAGAAGTGGAATAGATATAACATGTAATCCCATTACTTTATTGACTCTTGAAGGAATGAAAACTCACCAGCAGAGTCATATACTGTTTACAATAACTTTCACTTCATGAACACATACTTGCCAGTTGTGCACGGTATGTGTGTGTGTGTGTGTGTGTGTGTGTGTGTGTGTGTGTGTGACTGTTTTGAAATTCTCCATGTGCTCGATACGTAGTGCACAGATCCTGTGGCTGGAAGCTATTAATCCTGGAGACTTCAGCCATGAAGCATGCAGACTTGAAAGCTTTTAGAACTAACTTGGATGGATGAAGAGAAAGAAAGTGACCAGGTAATAACAAAGCATTGGACAGCTCTTTTCTGGGAGGGTGTGGCCTCTGCCAAATAAACCAAAATCATCTGCTAAGAAAGACCAGGATTCATACATTCTCCAAGAGGCAACCTTCCTTCCAAAGACAGGTGTGGGTGGGAAACTCTCAACATCTGTGGGCTGCCAAGTGTGTATAAGGTTACCTAGACTATGCTTTTTCCATATGCAACTTCAAGCCTCTGTCAAGAAGGGCCCCTTCCATTCCTAGCCCTCCCTCCAGGCTTCTCATAATGTCCGAGGCAAGTCCTTATCAGAGGCATATCCTACTGCTCTGCAAAATGCCACTCAATCAAAGCTTCTGGATAGAGCCTGAAGCTAGTTTAACAGGATATAGAAAGGAAACTCAGTGGTTTTTCTATTTGTGGTAAATGAATCTTTGAGTTCCAGAAAGTTATTAGAGTTCTCTTTTCTGTCATTCCATAAGATGAGGTGACTACTAGATGACCTCTTAGTCAGTTTTGCATCACCACAATACAATTACCAGCTTAAAAAGAAGTAAGGTTTATTTGGCTCACAGTTGTAGAGGTTTCAAATCCCATTGCTTTGCCTATGACAAGGCAGCACACCATTCTAGGAACATGTTGGGGAGGAAACTGCTCACTTCATGGCAGATGAAACCAAAGAGAAAGAGAGACATACACATGGGGCAGGGGGGAGACTGGAGAGGAGAGCGTAGTACTGTAAAGTAGAGAGAGAGAGAGAGAGAGAGAGAGAGAGAGAGAGAGAGAGAGAAAAGGCCCTACACTTTCCCTTGCGGGTATGCCCCAATGACCTATGACCTCCCACTTGGCCCTACCTCCAAGTAAACTTGGAGTAAACTCCCAATAGTGTCATACTGGGAACAAGTCATTAAACATACTATCTTTGAGGGAAGCCGAGATGCAAAGGCAATTTTTTCTCAAATACACTGAAGCTCTATCTTTCACTCCAAGGAAAGGGAGCAATTAAGAGATGATGGAGAGAAGAGACAGAAGCACAGATTAAATGTCTTCTAGATAACCAAGTGGGCTAAATAAATCTGGTTTTTGCAAGCAACATATCTGTAGTCATGTGGATTTAATGTAGGAATAATCTCTGATGGACTGCCTGTATTGTGAAGCCGGTTTTCTCTCAGGGTATTATGTTTATTATGCTCCTGGGAAAGGGTCCAAGTGAACACTGCTTTGAGGAAGAAACAAGGCAGAAGGGACTCCACCATACAGAAGAGATGGCCAACCTTCCCTGACCCAGCACACAGAAGAGTCAAGAAGTAAGCCCAGATGCCAATTCCCAGTGTCCTTGTTGCCCTGAACCTTTCGTTAGATCTGTGGGTTACAGCAAAGCAGGCTGCTTTGTGCTTTGCTAGGGAAGAGACAGGATGCTATTCATCGTATTATGCTTCCTATATGACAGGGCTTTCTTTTGAATGCCCTGGGCCCTGCCCCCAGTCTTGAGAAGTGTCCCCAGAATTCAAGCCTTGGCAAGTATAAGCCAGCTACTCCATGGCAGGAGCCTGCAAAGCTCTGGGGTCCCCTTCACAAACTAGGGAGTATCCTCCAGTGATTCAGGTACCATTTATGTGGACTGGTATGAGAGTGGGGAACAAGAACCTTTAACAAGGGTAGGTTGAGATGTTTTAATAGTCTATCTTCCAGCTTCCCTCTACCACTATTAAAAGTCTATAGATAAGTGTGGTCCTGAGGAAATGTGGTGAGCACTGTGTTATAGGAATAGGGAGCTACCAGCCTGGACATGATTTCCTCTTTATACCAAGACCAGAGAGGGCAGGAGAACTGAGACTCAAAGCTAATCACGCAGCTCCTACACAAATGTGGGATAAAACTTTAGGAAACCAGTTAAAAGTAGATGGGAATGAAAGGAAGTTAAAAAAAATACAACTAATAAAGGGTGTTTATATCTTAAGTCTATAACCTGAGCTGCATTAATGTGACATTCTAGAACAATGCATTAGCCAAACATTCTGCCGTCAAGGCACAGAGCTAAATGCAGAGCAGAGAGTGGAAGACTGCTATTTTGTCCATTTCGTGCCTTCCTGCCCAATATGATACAATTTGCCACTTTAAGATTTAATGTATCCTTCAAATTCTAGGTATCAGTTCTTAAATACATGGTTCTTAAATACATCAGTTCTTAAATACATTCCAACTAGCTTCTATTGACTGGGTGAGTGCCCCCTTCCTTCCTCCTTCTTCCATTTGCTATGTCTAGCACAGTCAGTCCTGACTCCCTTGGGATTAACCCTTGTCACAGGGTTGTCATGAGGATCACATGAGTAAATGCTCAGAAAGCACCTAAATCAGAGGCTGGCGAACGATACATAGCTCCAGGGATTTTCCTTCCATCATAAGCCGGTTATTATGGCTTAGTGTTAATAATGAATTGACACGGATTCTGAAAGTACACTCTTATTCTTCCGTTTCTGCCCTCTGTGACACAAACAATAAGATAACTCAGAATAGGATTTGGAATTTTATTAGAGAATATATCTAAAATACATTATCAGTTACATTATGATATGTTATTTGAATGGAAATATACTCTGTATCACAACTATAATAATTTTTACATCTTCATTTACAGCTCTAGAATTCAAAAGTCACTAAGTTATAACAATTCATATTTAAGATAACTTTGCTACAAATATATAAGCATTTTAAAAGTTTTCTTTAATATAACATCTTAGAATCAGGAACATTTATTTTATCTGATTTTTATTTTATCCAATGATGTATATAATCATAAAATCATGACTATTTACCTGATTTGCCTAAATTATCCATTTCTCTCATGATGTAAACTTGTACTCAACCATTCTACATTCCTATGTTTTAAAGTAGCATTTTAGCAAACAGTTCTGAGTGCTCATCACCTGATAACAATGCACAAAGGCAAGGGGCCCGTTTCTATCCCCTCCATTAGAATCCTGTTACAGAGACACTGTCTCTTAAGTCAAGCACCAATCTGCCACAGCACAACCACCAAGTCAGATACTTGGTCTCCCTCTTCACATTTTATTAGTAAGTACATGAGGTGACAGATGAAGGGTCTACAACACCAGACACAAAGCCAGGGTCCAAACCACCAAGGTAGAATTGTGCTTGGCTACAGAGAAACGGCCGCACTTTTGTTGTTTGGACACCAGCTTCAGAGCCATCTTATTTGAAGGAAGCTTTGATCTGTCTGTTCTTTAGTGGCTGAGCTGGGCGCCAGTTGTCCACCATCAGTTCTTCAGGTTCCCCTTCCCCATTGAAGTTCAGTTTTCGGAATTTTGACATCTGAAAAGACAGAATGAAAATTAAAAATTAGACTCTCACAAAAGTACATCCTTCTTAAAAAGATTTATTTTGCTTTATGTGTAGGTGTGCACCTGTGTGGGTTTTACCACATATGTGCAGGTGCTGGCAGAGGCCAGATCCCCTAGGGCTGCCCATTAGGCAGCTGTGAATGATCAGATGTGATTGCTGGGACCCCCAAGTCTTCTGGAAGAAGAGTACACACTCTACTGCTAAGCCATCTCTCTAGCTCCCAAGCACATGCTTTAGTGCTTTGCTAGGTCTTGAAATACAGCCTCCAATATTCATAGCATCATAAATTCCAAAGTCATACAGTCACATGTAGATGATGCATATGTGTGCTTTCATATAAGAAATCCATTTATCTAAAACATGAAACTACTGTGATCTTTTTTTTTTCTTTTTTATTTTTCAAAGTTATTTATTTAAT